GTCCCGCTGGATATTACGGTGGATACGGAGGCGGTTATGGCGGCTATGGAGGCGGAGGCTATGGTATTACAATACCGGCCAGTATTTTAGAAAAGTTTGAACATTTATATGAATAGTTTTTTATGTATAATTTTTGCTAATTATTGTGTTTTTGTTTATTTTTTAGTTTGGATTTAATTTAAAAATTTGAATTCAAATTAAAAGTGTCTCTCAAATGCTTGTTTATATACGGAAATGGGTTTTAGGTGTTAAATATAATTGTACTGTTTTGTGCGATTAGATAAAACGATTGTATTATTTATTTTAATTAATGGATTTGTTAATTGTGTTTGACAATCATCTAGTTCAGTGCTATCAGTTTCCTAATGCTTTGCTAATTTTATGTTAAATGTAAGTAATAATTATAATTGTTCACAAATGCACAATATATCTAGTTCACGGATGAGCACAGACATGTTTTCATTAGCCGTAATTGTTGTCCAATCATTGTATCTTATATCTGAATAGTATTAGTGACTACAAGGTCGTTCATAAATGATAAGACAGATTTACCCCTATTTTTGCCCCTGAGCTCATCTATGATCTAGTTACTAGATTCAAGTTATTAATTTTTTTAAAATAATAAAATTTAAAATAATAAAATTTTTTAATATTAATATATTTGACTACTACTAATAATTATTCAATAATTAGATTATTAAAGTTAATTTTTGTGTATACCTTGAATAATATGACACTTTATTTAACTAACTTATGATGATGTTTGTAATATCATTTTTAACAATACCTAATAAAATATTGATTATAATGTTGATATTTAATTAATTCTTATTAACATTATTTATGCTACTTTTGTCTCTAAATTATAAACGAGTTATAAAAGTGGTTCGACCCGACGGGAGGCCTGGATCTGACGGGCGGTCAGTGGCTGTCGTATGACTTCTCGTCGGAAGGAGAGGACGATAGGGCCGAAGCGGGTCGAGTGCCTGAGCCACCAGTTGGTCAGTCAGTGGCCGATGAGAGGGCTCTCCTCTCGTGGATAGAGGAGAAAGTGAAGTTGAGTTGGATGTAGATAAACAATAAAACTCAGCGGTTGTTAGACCTACCGCTATAGAAATTAGGGACACTGTTTAGGTCGACCTCCGCGTTGGTGTGTCTCGGGTAACGCTGACAGACCTAACGTTTTCATTATTTCAATCATTATTTAGTTGTTAAACATTATTCAATTGATAGCCAATTCTGGATAGAAATCATGATTTTTAATGCATTTCTCTTTAAACAGAATCATTTCTCTTTATGAGTTATAAAACAATAATAATATCAATAGTTTGACAACAAATGAATAGTTTTCAGTTAAATATTGAGAAAAATAAGTTTTTAATAATAAAATATATAATTAACGTCTGAATCGAGAATAAAATAATTATAATAATAGATATTTCTTATGAAAACTAATAATAAAGTATTTGTTATTACTATACAATTGAATCCCCAGAATATGTGTATAATTATAATAATAGTAATGAAAGTAATAATTATAATAATAATAGTGAATAAATTCCTAACTTAAAAGCTTTATTATTATGTAATAATTATACTTTTCTCTCGCATTTTGTATAATAAATATAAATTTATATATAAATTGTGTGTAAAGTGAATGATAACTTGCATTATATATACAATAAAATGGGATTAAATTAATGAAACAATTGAAAAACAAATTATAATATAATTCCTAACACGACGTGAAGAGCAGAGATTTTGACATTTTATTTATTGCAACCATTTATATGTCATTTAATTATCAGTAAAAATGAAATCACTAATCCATAGATCAAACGTAACGCCAATACAACCGCCAAACCGATACTCCAGAGCTATAAACAGACAAAACAAACAAAAATCAAACCACAAATCAAAAACACAATCAAAAAACAAATTACTTCAACAAAAACGAGTCTCAAATGCGTTTGACTTTCGCAAACTTGTAGGCAATGGCCGCCTGTTTCTCAATACACTGGCGGCAGAACCACGACTCGTCCTCTTGAGGGGCCGCCTCCTCCTTGATCTCCGCGCAGTCAAAGTGATACCAACGGTCGCAGTCATCGCAACAGATGGAGGGCGTGGTGTTGTCCACCGACGTCCTGCACGCCGGGCACTGCCACTGAGAACTACCACCAGCGCCGCCGCCACCGCCTATACCGGCGCTGTATTTGGTCAACGATATGATGGGCGATGTGGACAGCGACCGGTGGGCAATCGCCGCGGCGGCCGACTGTTTAGACAGCAGGGGTGGAGGCTGTGGAGATGGCGGCGGTGGGCGCACCGACTGTTTCTTTTTCTTACATCGGGTGCACATCCAGGTCTGGTCGGCCTTGGGTTCGATGAATACGCCGACGCACTGCCAGTGGTACCACTCGTCGCAACGGTCGCACCCGATCATAGGCGTGCCGTCGTCGGGCCTCTCGCACTGCGGACAGATGTACTCGTCGTCGTCGGACTCGACCGCTGCCGTCGCCGCCGCCTTCTTCGACTCAGTGGTCGCCTCTTTGTGCCTCTCTTTGTGGCCGCCTTTCGACGCCTGTTTGCTGTCGTCGTCCGACAAACTCTGGTTCCGTTCTTTCTTAGGCGCGACGCCAGTGGCGGCGGAGGCGGTCACCGAAACCGAGTCCTTTCGGGGCCGACCTCTGGGTCGTATCGCTGGCGGTTTGTTGGAGGCCGCGGGCGGACGCGGCGCCTCCTTCTTGGGTATTACGTACGGCGTTGTTGTGGGCTATGGATCGAGCGGTTAGTACACAACAAAACAATACAATTGGTGTGGAAAACAATAATTACTGATTTCATAGTAAATGTAGTATTGGTTGTATTGGTTGCTAATGATGTTGAAGTGGTTGCTCTGGGATTGGGTGCCAAACCAATGGTCATACTCTGCTCTTCACGTCCTAATTGTCATTTGTCTTTCACACGCTTTTTAGTGTCCTTTTTCTTCGCGGTCTTCAGGACCTTAGGCTCGATTTGTTTCTGCTTTTTCACGCATTTCTGGCAAAACCAGCTCTCGTCGGCTCCCGGAGCCGTTCTGATGCCAACGCACTCGTAGTGATACCACTCGTCGCACGTATCACAGCCTAAACACCGTCAGTGGTAACACAGTTGTGGTGATTAGCAAATCATTATCACGACACACATCGACAGCGAAAAGCACTTACCAATCATAGGACTGCCGTCGTCGGGACGCTTACACTCGGGACAGATCCACACTTTGCCGTTGCCTTCGCCGGTGTCAACAGTGATTGTCTCTCGTATCACAATACATGACGTATCCTCTGTGGGCTCCTCTTTCTTCTCCTTCTTCTTCGGTCCCCTTTTCTTCTTAACGGCGGACGACATGTCCTCCTGATTGGAAACGTTGTGTTTGGGCGACAGCGGGGTCTTCACCACAGGCTTACTGTTGACCGCAGCGGCGCTCTTAGCCGAGAGCTTATCAGAACCGGTGCTTTTGGGTCTACCCGTCGAACCCAACTTGATATTGATCTTGGGTTTCACTTCCTCTTCGGAGGACGTGTCCTCATCGGTGCTAATCGTTTTGCGAGATTTGAATTTCTTATTCTTCACCAACTTCTGCGTCTTCTTCTCCTTGCGATCCCTATCGCGCTCTCTATCCCTGTCTTTGCGGTCCGTTTTGTTTTCCTTCTCCTTCTTGACGGCCACAAGCGGTGCGTTCATAATCTCCGGTGGCATCGCTTTCTTCTCGGCCAACGTCTTTGGTTTGGTGAGAGTCGGCGGCGGACCCGAGTACTGGTGCGGAGGGGATCCGCCCGACTGAACGGGCGTCAGCAGCGGCGGCGACCGCTGACCAAACATGGGCTGAGTGCCAAACTGCGGGCCCACCTGATTGGTCATCGAGAACATGGTTGGAGAGAGGGGTGACGCGCCCGGCGACACCTTAGGGAAGGCGCTCATCGCCGACTTGAACGCCGATTTACGCGCCGGTGATGAGTCCGGTTCCGGTGGGGGCGAAGTGGCCGACGCCGCCGCTGCGGAGGCCGTCGGTATCGATAACTTGTGCTTTCGGCCGCGCTTCGTGACCGACGACGACCCGCCGTTCTTCTCGTTAAACATCATTACCAACGCTTTGGCCGCCTCTTCGTCGTCGTCGTCCACCACCGCCGCCGCCGCGGCCGACGCTTTGAGATCTGATTTACTTTGATTACTGGGTGATGAGAGGGTCCGGTGTTCGGCCTTCGCTTTGGGACTGCCGACAGCGGCGGCGCCCGTCGGCTGCCAATGAGGCGACCGCTTGTGCGCCGCCGACGGCGACAGTAGCGCCGACTGCGACTGTCGGACCACTTCGTCGATAGTCTCGCTCATCGACATCTCGAACGCCGGATTGTCTTTCTCTTTGCGCGACTTCTTGGCCGACGTCGGCCTCTCTCCCGACTCCTCTCTCTTCAGTTTGTACTTCTTTTTCGGTGATAATTCTGCGGACACACAGACAGCACACGTATATCAATATAATTATCATTAAAACTGTTAATTATATGTCAATTAAAACTAAATTTTCACAGTTTTAAGGACTGACAGGACATATACTCTGAGGACTAGCCGTAAAACTAATTAAATAAGACCTCAAAACAGCCATAAGTTCTAACGATAAGACAATAACTTCGGCCAAAGACAAACCTTCTTCCTGTTTGACTGATACGTTCGACTCGTTATCATCTCTTGAGGTACAGATCCGGTCAATCACGGCGTCGATTGACGAGTCAAACGAAGCGTTCATTTTGCTAACGGACTCCTCATTGGGCGACACAACACTGGCCGGCGATCGAGCCATCGTTGGGGTCGACGTAGCGGTGATATTGCCGGTGGAGAGTCCGATCACTTTGATGGCCAGCGGTGAGTACGGGCGTCGACCCAACTCTTTAATCTTCAGCACTTTCTTCAACTTCTTGCCCTCTTTTGCGTCGCTTTTATCCCTTCCTTTGCCGACAATGGCTTTGATCTTAAACTTCTTGGGCTTCAACTTCGAGCGCTCGCCTTTGGCCGACAGTTTCGCGTCCTTACGATCCTTACGCTTCTCTTTGCGGTCCTTCTTCTTCATCTCCTTATCCACCAATGGTTTGATCGGCTTTTCCTCCACTTTCACCTCCCGTTCGGGCGTATTCTCGCGCGACTCCTCCGACTCGATCACCCGCTGGGTGTCCGGCAATCGGCCCTCGCGTTGACCGCCGCCCACACTGGCCGGCAGATCGCGCAAAAATCCGAAGCTGTCCAACACCGCCACCGCCGCCGATACGGCCCGTCTGGGAGAGAGCGGACCGCCGCCGGCACCCGACTCCAGTGCCAACACCTGCGCCGATGATGACGACGACGGCAGCGGCGGTGACGTCAAACTGTCCTGCAGTATGTCTTCGTTGAGTTTAGACGTATCGCCACCGCTCTCGTCACCGCCGGCGCCCGATGTCTGCGTCTCACGCAATGGTGGCATCCATTCGTAATACCTGTTCCCGAGATAATGGCAATCAATGACAAGTGTCTTAAAAGTTAACTCAAGTGTCAACTCAAGTGAGACTAATGTAAACAAATGGTTGAAAAGTGCAAAAGCACTGACCACTCGGGCCTCTCCTCGTCAGAGGCGGTACTGTTGACGACGCGATTGGAGACATTGGCGATGGGATACTTGGGCACCGGCACGTCCAGGGGCTGCGAATCCACGTTTTGCACGTAATCCTTGAGCTCCTGAAGATCGATATTAAAGTGGTTGAACGCGTGGCCGATGTCGTCAAACGTGGGCACCGGTCGGCCGCAGTGGTTGGCGTAATGCACACATCGGGCCGACAACTGGCGCGTGTATTGGGCGGCCAACTGTGCCAACACGTCCAGCGACGTCGAGTGCGAGGCGTGCCAACCCATGTCGCGACATATCTGGGCCACAAACCCGCGCAGAACGTGGTCGCTGTACGTCACCACCATTGCCACGGGTCACACACCCACGCCTGGAACCAGTTATGGTGATGTCTTGTGGCCAGTGATCATCGTTGCGGTCACACCAATGGGTTTGCACTCAATATATCTGTAGTTATGGTGTGTTTTGTGTTATCAATCGATACGTGTTTTAACGTTACTATCAATTGAATAGCAGTTTATACTGTAATGTGTTGTCTCTCTGTCTCTCTCACTATCCTCTCGACAACCGTTCGCACAAATGGCGTGAATTGTACTGAAAGAGCGCATGCGTTAACACTCACCGCTCTGGCCTCGAGTTGGCGCGCCTGCGCCCTATCAACTCCACTGTTTAGTACAGTAAAGTGTTGATTGCCTTTGACTTCATTGCGATTTATACCGAGCCTCACTGTAGCGAATGTGGCGCTCAATACGTGTATTGTTGGTACAGTGATGCGTGTTTATATGCGCTCCAGCGTTTATGATATGCTTGTTATATAAGTTTTGCCATAGAGGGGGCGATTGGGGGCAGAAAACTGTTGATTAGTTTTGCAAAGTTTTGATAACTTTTTTTGCGCACATAAAACACAAATTATGGATAAAATTAGTTGATTTTGATTGTAATTACAGTAAATTAATTGTTTATTTGTTTGATAAATGTTTGAATTTTGCCCACAAATGCACTTAACGTACTGTTTGTATGAATTGGGCGTTAAAACAAGTTGTTTTAAACAACAACAAAGGACTTAAAAGTGTCAAATTTAAACCACTTTTACATCTATTGTCTCAAAACAAGTTTTAATTTCTTCGCAAACGATGTGTCAAATGAATAGCAAAGACTCTTTCGATAGATTTGGTGATGATATGTGTCAACACGTGTTGTCATATCTGCCATTCAAAGACCGCTTCCGCTATGAATGTATTTCAAGACAATGGCATCGATTGGTATTCACCACTCAATCGGAGCTCATTATTGATGAAGACATCAAACAATTGATTGCAAATAATCCACAAATATTTGAATCAATTGTCACAAAGTGTTCAAACATTAAACACATTTCCTATGAATTGAAGTTATTTCTTATAAATGAGTCGTTAATTGATGTACTGATCAAACATTGCCATCATTTGAATGACATTCACCTCAATTTGGATCAAATAAGTTACGCAACGATTTACAAGTTTTTCGCAAAGTTTGCCAAACAATTGAAAACAATTGAATTGAATTTCAATCCAAAATATTACTCTGATCTTGGTAAAGAGGTGATTCGCAATTGGCTTAAACTGTGCGTAAATGTGCAGTCAATCCGTGGTCTCTATAATGGCAGTCAATTATCATCGCTAGTAATCGATGACCAAAATCAGATGCAATTCAAACGACTCCATACCATAGCAACCATTTTATTGCATTTAAATGATTTGAATGAATTTGATTCAGTCGTAAATCTCTATCAAAACAATATTAAGAAAATTGAACTCATTTTGCATAATATTGACGAAAACGTCACTCAAGTCATCATTAATAGACTGAGCGCTAGTTTGTCGCGATTGAAGACATTAACTGATTTCAAAATACAATTGCCTACAAATTCGGACTCATTTTTGTTTCAATTATTGTCACTAATTGGTCGTAAGTGTCCGCAACTCAAGAGTATTCAGATTGTGAAACACAAGTTAAGTATTGGACACGCGTTTCAAACAATCGGCAAATCATTTAAACGTTTAAAAAGACTCAAAATAGCTTTGGCTGAAGAAGAAGAGGGAACTCTGACCACAGATTCACTGAAGCCATTGAAACAATTAACGCATTTATTCGTTAGGAGTATTAATGGATTAAAGGACACATTCTTCGTCGATATATCACTGAATTTACTACACATTCAACACTTGGCGGTCAATCGGGTGGCGGTAACAACGGTGGCGATGGAAGCGGTGTTGAAACTACCAAACCTCAGCACTGGTTATCTCGTGGGCAATATTTTGGCCACAAAAACCGCATTCAACGCTCTCATCAATAAATGTCCAAAAAATTTTGATCTCAAGAGATTAGAGATTGTTTCGGAAGATAGTGAAGATGATAGTGGATCTGGTGATGAGTGATCGTCTTATGGTTTATTGCAAACAATTTATGCTTTAATTTTACATTTTTGTAACTCTTGATTGATTGACTCTAATTGATTGCTATTCTTGTGATTTTATTGAATTACTTAATTATTTTAATTTTATAACTTTTTTATAACTAACTTTTTATAAATGCATTAATGTTTTTAACTTTTTATAACAAAATTGATATAAAGACTCAAAACTGATGAATATTTCAATGTATTTATGCAGATATTTAATGTTTACATAAATTGTTTCAATCATTTTAATGTTTGTAATCTATATTTTAAACCCATTTATAGAAGTATTTACAACTAGTTCATTTATTTAAAACATTTTAAAATGTTTAACATATTCTCATTTAACAAAATTATTGTTTTTACTATTTTTAATGAAGTTAATATTTTTAACGTATACTGTACTAATTATTTACATATTTTAAAACTTGTATTTTATATAATTAAAACAATACAAATAAACTCTATATTTTACACTAACATGGTTGTATAATTTATATTTTAAATATTGATAAGTAGAATCACCAATGGATGTTATTTAATGTTTAAACTGACAATAAATTATAAATTGGGCAAAAAAGCACAGTATCTAATACTTAACTAATACTTTAAAAAGTTGTTATATTCATTATTGTACACAAAATTGTAAATATTTACCCAAAAAGCATTTAAAAAGAGATAATTTTGGTGACTCTATTGATAAGCTTAAACTTAAAAGTTTAAACCATGTTAAATTCATAACATTGTTGACTGCCTTTGACTTCATTGCGATTTAAATCAAGCCTCACTGTAGTGAATGTGGCGCTCAATACGTGTATTGTTGGTACAGTGATGCTTATTTATAAGCGCTACAGTATTATTATATGGTATAAAAACTTTTGCCATAGAGGGGACGATTGGGGGCAAAAAACTGGGATTAGTTTTGCAAAGTTTTGATAACTTTTTTGCGCACATAAAACACAAATTACAGATAAAATTAGTTGCTTTTGATTGTAATTACAGTAAATTAATTATTTATTTGTTTGATAAATGTTTGACTTTTGCCTACAAATGGCACTTAACGTACTGTTTGTATGAATTGGGCGTCAAAACCACAACAAAGCACTTAAAAGTGTCACTTTTAATTCACAAACACTTGTTTTAAACCACTTATCCATCTATTGTCTCAAAACAAGTGTTAATTTCTTCGCAAACTATGTGTCAAATCAATAGCAAAGATTCTTTCGATAGATTTGGTGATGATATGTGTCAACACGTGTTGTCATATCTGCCATTGAAAGAGCGATTCAGGTATGAAAGCGTCTCAAAACAATGGCATCGATTGATATTTACCACACAATCGGATCTCATTATTGATGAAGACATCAAACAATTGATTGAAAGTAAACCACAAATATTTGAATCAATTGTCACAAAGTGTTCAAACATTAAACACGTTTCCTATGGATTGAAGTTATTTCTCATAAATGAGTCGTTAATTGATTTACTTATCAAACATTGCCATCATTTGAATGACATTCACATTAATTTGGATCAAATAAGTACCGAAACGATTGACAAGTTTTTCGCAAAGTTTGCCAATCAATTGAAAACAATTGAATTGAATTTCAATCGAGAAGTGGGTGAAGACGTGATTTTCAATTGGTTTAAACTGTGTGTAAATTTGCAGTCAATCCATGGTATCTATAATACCAGGCAATTATCATCGCTGGTAATGGATGGCCAAAATCAGATGCAATTTAAACAACTTCAAAGAATAGAATCAATTTGTTTGAGTCAATCCAATCAATTCAATATATTTGATGATTTGATGGGTAATAACAATATCAAGAAAATTGGATTAGTTTTGTCGCATATGAATAAACACACGATTAAAAGTCTGAGCGATAGTTTGGGGCGAATGAAGACATTAATTCATCTCAAAATTCAAACGCCGCCCTATTCTCAGTCCCTTTCATCTCAACTATTGTCACAAATTGGTCTCAAGTGTCCGCAACTCAAGTCGCTTCACACACACGCGCGGGGATCACGTTTAGGACACTTATTGCAGACAATCGGCAAATCATTTAAACGTTTAAAACGTTTAGTAATATTTGGTTCTTTGCCCGAAGAAGAAGAAGACGATGTGACCACTGATTCATTGAAAGCATTGAAACGATTAACACATTTGGAAGTTATGACTTTTGATAACATTTACGACGGTTTCTTTACCGATATATCACTGAATTTGCCACACATTCAACACTTGGCGGTCAATCAGGTGATCATAACAGCCGCGTTGGAAGAGCTGTTGAAACTAACAAACCTCAGTACCGGTTATCTCGTGGGCAAAATTTTTGCCACAGAAACCGAATTCAACGCTCTCAGCAATAAATGTCCCAAAAATTTTAATCTCAAGAGATTAGCGATGTTTGTACCGTATGAACCCCCATGGGGTGTTAAGTGAGGGGTCCCTTACTCGGGTACACTTCAAAATAGCATGGAGTGTTACCTAGGTAAGCCCCCACCCCCGCTAAGAAATTGACATAATACCCCATGGGCGTTTATGAGGAAGAATACGGAATGAGGAAAATTATGGTGAAGATGATAGTGGATCTGATGAGTGATCTTCTTATGGTTTATCGCAAACAATTTATGCTTTAATTTTACATTTTGATAACTCTATTCATTGCTATTCTTGTGATTTCATTGAATTACTTAATTATTTCACTTTTTATAAACGTATTAATGTTTTTAACTATTTTTATATTGAAATTAGTATTAATCCATAAACTGATGGATATTTAATTAAATTTATCGCAGATATTCTCATTCGACAAAATTATTGTTTTTACAATTTTTAATAAAGTTAATATTTTTACTAATTATTTACAAATAATTCAAAACTTGTATTTTATATTATTAAAACAATACAAATAAACTCTATATATTACACTAACATGGTTGTATAATTTATATTTTAAATATTGATAAGCTTAAAAAAGTTTAAACCATGTTAAACTCATAATATTGTTGACTGCATTGACTTCATTGCGATTTAAATCGAGACTCACTGTAGCGAATGTGGCACTCAAAACGTGTATTATTGGTACAGTGATGCTTGTTTA